TCCTTCTCTAGGTTGTCCGAGGTGAGTCTACCACTGTTCATCTGTAATGTCCATTCTGGGGTCTCACCACTCACAGATCAAGAAGCTCTTTGTAACATCCAACAAGACTCACCCTTGTACTGACTTGAAAGCCATGTCTGCTCATCTGGTCAAGAGTAAGAAGCAACTGCATCCTGGCCATTAGACAATCAAACAAATAGGCGTCTTTATTCCTACTGGAGAGGTAACCTTGAAGTGAGGGCACGGAGCTGTAGTGTCCATCAAATCTGGGTCCAGATGTTTATTCCAAGTGACCCAATACCTTAGGGCCTGGTTTTTCCTCACAGCCCAATACAGGTATGACTTGTCTCCTAGGTCAGGAGTCATAAAACATGCTGCCTGGATGCTATTAATAGTAATCACAGAGGACAACTGGCTTCAGGCAGCCCAACCAGTACCTAGAGCTGTCTATGTATAGAACAAGACAGTGTGTGGGGTACACCCGTGCATAACAAAGGACAGCCATTATTCTTAATACTATTGGCTCATTTTGAGACTTTCTCTGCAGCTGATCCCTCCTTATCCTGGGTCAGCTGCTGGCTTAGGTACCACTCTGAAGGCATGCCCAGTCTTCCTGCAGCTTTTGAAAGAATGGCCATTTGCTGGTGTTTACGTTTTTGTTGGGCTCTCTGCTGTTCTGATCTCAGACTTGCCGTCTCCCTTCATGCTTTGGTCCCTCAGACTCACTGAAACACAGCTGGAGGGCAGAGCCAGGCATATATGGGCCTCTTGGCCTCAGCAGAGGTTACTTCTCAGGTCTCCAGAATGTCTGGGACGCCTCTACAGGTCACAGCTGGCTAGCTTGGGCAGAGTGGTGTCTCTTCCAACAGACGACAACCTGGACTGAGCAGGGAAGTACCCCTCAAGAGGCCGGCTTGTAGAACCACAAGAGTTTCTTCCTGCCTAGAAAATCAGAAGGCTTTTCTTGAGGCTCCCTGGCACATTGTCATTTCCATAGCAGGGTTGTTTTGGTGCATCTGGAGCACCTGCTACCTGACTCCATTATTCAGTAGTTCCATGACTTAGGCAAACGACTCACGGTCTTCAAGTCTGAGCAGTCTCCTCTCTTGCCCTGCTATTAGCCTTGACTTACCTCTGCGGTAACTAAATGGCTGTTCTAGGACTAGAGAGAGAGCTCAGCAGGCAGAGTGCTTGCCTAATATTTACGGAAGCCCTTGGTTTGATTTGCAGCACTGCATAAACGGGGTATGATAACACATGCCACTGACCCCAGCACTGGAGAGGTGGAGGCAGGGTGATCCTCAGCCTCACAAGGAGTTTAGAGCTGGCCTGAGGCACATGTGACCCTATCTTTAAAAAAAAAAAAAAAAAAAAAAAATACTAGAAAAACACAAACCCACAAAGACCATGATTGTATCCTCCTAGAATGGCAGAGCTCACTAGCAAAGCACCCCAGCACCTCAGTAATCAAATGGGGGAATTGCCGTGCTGTTACCTAGGACACAGGTGTGGGGCCCAGCTCCTAGCTACATGGCTGCCCTGAAGCAATGGGTCCTTCCCAAAGAGCTGCTGGGAAGACACAATGACAAGTCATAAACAAAGTGCTCGAACCATAGAAATAACTGGCTGGAGTTATTTTTATTATCTGAACTTTTCTCATTCCTAATCTTTGAGATAAGAGCTCAGAAGTATATCCCAGGGCAGTAGCTGCTGCCTTCAGGCAGGAGACAGTTCTGTGTCGCCAAAATGATGCTTCTTCCTCAGAGCAATCCACTACAGTGCTGTGGTGGCAAGAGGGATATAGACACATAGTGTGTGGCCCCACCACACAGGCCAAATGGGGACATTCAGATGCAACCCACTGGAGGCTGGGTAAACCCAGGCTTAAGGAGTCTACTTCCCCATGTGCAGAGGCCATCCTGCCACGTGGTCACTGCAGCCTTGGTGGTGGGGAGAGGGAAGCCCGGCACAATGGAAACTCCTCGCCACACAATGTGGAAAAGCGATTCGGATCGGTGTTTTTATTTTAATTTCCAAGCCAAGGAAAACAGTTGGGTTTGCTTTTCTTTGTTGGTCATGGGAGAAAGCGAGGAGGGGAACTTTGACTGGAGTGGCGCTAGTCCCCAGCCTAAGGCGGCTGTGGAATGCTGGGGGGTTATTTCTCTTGGGATGCAATTAGTTGAATAAATATCAAGAAAGCAAAAGTAAACAGACTCATTATTGCCCATTCAGAACTGCCAAACTAGCAGAAGACAGGTTAGAATCCTTAGGGAAAACAAATGCTTGCTAGGGAGGCCAAGGGCTACATGGGGAGCATGGTACTGATGTAAGCCCCTTGGAGGTTCAATTTGGGCTCTTACCTGCTGCATGTCCCTAGGCAGGGCCCCCTATTGCCTGGACATCTCAAGTTTCCACTGGTTACTAGCACTGCAGACTTACCTAGAGCTTGGGTGTCAGACCCCCAGCAAGGGACTCTGTTCCTTCCATTCTTTTAGGTAAGGCACTGAACTCCAATCACCCCACCAAGCCCAGACCCTGCAGATGGAACTGCAAGCCCCGACTCCACCAGGACACTTGGTAACTGACTGGTTCTAACACTAGCCAGTGACTTCACAACTTTCTGAGCTTCCACTTCCTCACTTTTTTTTTTTTCTCATTAAACTTGTTTTAATGGGTCTCAAAATTCTGTGACATTTTTGTGTGTGTGCCACTTCCTCACTTTTAAGTCAGGTACAACACTAATAACAGATTCTGGGCTTTGGGGTCATCAGAACATATGTGAGTGGCAGATGTTGAGTTTGGTTTGCATTTTAATGATAGCAAGCAATGTTCTTTCAGGAGAAGGGGTTCAGGGATCACACCAGTGCGTGCTAGCACTAGGCAGCTGCCTAGGGCTAGAACTTGGTCTAAGCAGCTTTCCTCTAACAGGGCAATGACGTTCTACCCACAGTACAGCTATCCTTGGCACTCCTCAGTGGTGCTTTGCTATTTTTTTATCCTGTGGGTACCACAACATTCTACCCTCACTGAAGAGGTGCTCAGTCTTCAGGATCTCAAGTCCAAAGGCAAGAGCAGTGAGGACCCACACTCGGGAAGGGACAGAACTCAATAAACAGCACGGCCTCCAGGTTTGGATACCTGGGAATGTTTAGAAAAAAAAAGTGTTTTCTCTCGTGCCAAGTTGCCTCCCTGGCATTCTGGCAGTTTCTTGGCCATAGCACAGAGGTGTTTGTCACCAAGCAGGCAGGTAAGCTGCCCACAGAAGGTGAGGCAGGAGGGCCCACCCTAGCCTGGAGCCCAGCTTCGCCTCATTCTTCTGCATCGGTGTGGGCGGTGTTGGGGGGGGGGGCTACCAGTTCCCAAGAAGCCAAAGCATTGGAAACCAGGCAAACATTGTCAAACTAGCCTGTATTCACTGAAGCCCCATCTCTCTCTAGAACAGTTCTCCATTAAATATCCTTTCTACCTGACCCTAAAAGGCCCTTTCCGACTGTTGGAACCAAGCATTGGCTCTTGACTTCAGTAGAAAACAGCCCAACACAGCCCCTTGGAGAACAGGGTCTGATCTGCCCACTGGCTGGTTCATGGTGCAGTCTGCAGCCAGCGGCTGCAGTGAGAAGCTTCCGTGGGATTCTATGCCACAGCTGGCATTCAGCAGATATGAATGTGAAGGGAAAAGTGGTAACACTGGTGGCTTTGAGCTGCCAACAGCTGTTAGCCCAGGGCTGAATTCTGGTTGGACCACCTCCTAGCCTTGTGATCTTAAGACTTCCTGCTTTGTGATATGGAATTAAGAGTACCTAGGGCTGGTGAGAGGGGCCAGTGAGTAAGAGTTCTTGTCCCAAGCCTGATAACCTGAGCTTGATGCCCAGGACAGACACGGTAGAAGGAGAGAACTGCCTCCTGCAAGTTGTCCTCTGACCGCCACAAGCGTGCTATGGCACTTGTGCCCCTACATGCATACACACAAATAAATATACGCTGTACAAAATTTAAAAAAAAAGCAGAGAAGCTACCATCAAAGGACATTGTAAGAACACAGGGAAGTAGCCCTGGGCAATCCTAGAGTCCCTCTAGGCCCATCTAATTCCTACTCAGCCCTCAAGAGTCAGTGTAAAGGTCACTTTCTCAGGGAAGTGCTCCTGACCCCTCTATTAGGTCAGGGCCCTGTCATAACCTTTCACAACACGTGATGCTTCTCCTTACAGTTCTTGGGAGCTCTGGTGATATGAAAGCCCTGTGAGGCAGCCAAATCCCCAGCAACCAGCACACTGCCTGGCACAGCATAACATGAGATGAACGTATTGGAAAGGGATATACCGTCTAAGAAACAAGGCAGAGACACATGCCTAACTTCTGTTCCTTGCTGATTTAAACTCACTGCAACGATGGGGATCCTGAAGTCATTGGCTGTTGCAGCACTTGGAATTAGAAGAGGTCAGATTGTTCTTGTCTGAGACTCTGTAGCTTAGCTACCACACAGACCAAAGCCATGTGACAGGATGCTCCTTCTGTGGACACTGTCCACTACTGAGGCATTCCATTCTGTGTCTAGCAGCTCATTCATCTAGCCAACACTTGCTGAAAAGACTTCTCCATGCTACATTCTATGGACAGAGGTTGAGAGAGACCCTGTACCTGCACTTAGAGAACGAAGATCCACCAGGGCTGAGATAGGCAAAACCCGGGAAGAATTCGAGGGTGTGAGAGTGTAGAACACAGAAATGCGAAGGTCAGAGTCCCAAGGCAGAGGAGAATAGACACTCCCCTAAGCTCCCATTCCCAGTGTCAAGTTCTTGGGCTCTGGAAGTAGCAGATCCCTTTTACCTACTACCTCAGCAGGGCCCCATCATCTTCTGATGTTTCCATGATGACTGTTCTCTCTCTGACTCCAGGAGAGTGGAACATAGCCTCCCCAAAATGTATCTGTGTAATGTCCTGCCTGGCACAGGCCAGTGGCAGGGATGGGGCTGTCACTGACTTCATTTCTCCGATCTCAGGCTTTCAGAGACCTCATTCGTAAAGACCAACCACCACACTGCAAGGACCATGAGGCCACTGTGTGTGACCTGCTGGTGGCTGGGGCTACTGGCTACCGTCGGAGCTGCTACAGGTCCAGAGGATGATGTTGAGGGCACAGAGGATGGCTCACAGAGAGAGTACATTTACCTCAACAGGTACAAGCGGGCAGGCGAGTCTCCGGACAAGTGCACCTACACTTTCATTGTGCCCCAGCAGCGGGTCACAGGTGCCATCTGTGTCAACTCCAAGGAGCCCGAGGTGCACCTGGAGAATCGTGTGCATAAGCAGGAGCTAGAGTTGCTCAACAACGAGCTGCTTAAGCAAAAGCGTCAGATCGAGACACTGCAGCAGCTGGTAGAGGTAGATGGCGGCATCGTGAGCGAGGTGAAGCTGCTGCGCAAGGAGAGCCGCAACATGAACTCTCGAGTCACGCAGCTGTACATGCAGCTCTTACATGAGATCATTCGCAAGCGGGACAACGCGCTGGAGCTCTCCCAGCTGGAGAACAGGATTCTGAACCAGACAGCTGACATGCTACAGCTGGCTAGCAAGTACAAGGACCTGGAGCACAAGTTCCAGCACCTGGTCATGCTGGCCCACAACCAATCAGAGGTCATTGCGCAGCTAGAGGAGCACTGCCAGAGGGTACCTGCTGCCAGACCCGTGCCCCAGCCTCCCCCAGCCACCCCACCTCGGGTCTACCAACCACCCACCTACAACCGCATCATCAATCAGATCTCCACCAACGAGATCCAGAGTGACCAGAACCTGAAGGTGCTGCCTCCCCCTCTGCCCACCATGCCTGCTCTCACCAGCCTCCCATCATCTACTGATAAACCATCAGGTAAGTCCTTTGGGGAGCCCCACTCACATGGGCCTCTGAGCCAGGTGCCTCCATGATTCTACTTGGGGGAAGAGTTTTGGCCAGCTGAGACCAGCCCAGGGCTTGCATAACCTCCTGAGGTGGCTGCTGGAGCCAGTGGGGCTGGGAGGGTGAGGTGAGTGGCAGAGCAGCTGTGGAAGGGTGTCAGCTCTGGGGTCTCTGAGAAAAGAGAACTCAGGCTTAGGTATTTTGAGGGACTGCAGTTGCCCTGTCTTGGTGGCTAGGGTGTCTCACATGTGGGCTCACATCCATATGCAGGGCCCAGAGCTACCTTTTTGTAAATGTCACCTGACAAGTCGCAGGCCAGTGGAGAAGTGCTATTAAGTTCAAAGTTAAAGTCTCATAGGGGTGGGGACCAGAAGGATCTCTTCCCAAAGATTGGGAGTTCCCTTCGGTCAGCTGCTGCCCAGTGGTCAACAAGACTTCCATACACTCTCAACACACATGTCATGCTAAACTGGGATTCCCAGAACACTGTCGTGGAAGAACAGGGTCCTTGGAGCACACCCTGGGAAGTGTAACCAAGAAACTGCACTGGGAGTCTCACGAGTGTCACCTGATTGAGCTCCTCAAGGACAGGCTGAATAACCTGTCACATGCTGAACATGCTTGGGCTGCATGTAAAGTCAGGCCCTTGTGTCCAAGCTGGGCCTCTGCATCAGACTCTAGTAATCTGTAGGTTAGGGGGAGCAGGCTAGAGGACTCCCCTCAAGGGAGCCAGTTCCTGGAGCTTGGCTTCTCCATCTAAGCATTGTTATTTTCCACATGTGCTAACTGAATTCATCTCTGCAGAAGGTAACCTAAGACTGTGCACGGGTGCCAATTTCTTTGTTGGTAGAGATATATTTTTACTGAAAAGACCCTGGTTTGTACCTGTTTCACACTTGAAAAAATAAACAGTAGTATTGAGTTGAATCTGTGTGTGGCCAGTGGGCAGAGCAAGAATGGACAAGTCAGTGGTGGCAGTGGGGAGCTAGGTTCATGGCACAGCACCTGTCAAAGCTCCTTGAAAGAAAGACCTGGGCTGGGTGGGGGTGGAGAGTGGGTACACTGGACTGGACTGTCCTGGGTTGGAATCCTGCTTCCTCTATTGGTGAGCTCTGGGCAGGAGGCAAGTAACCCTGTCCCTGTATTCCTCGTGTAAGGCTCTGGGTAGGATTTATTTTAGTCTGTTTCCAACTGACAGTTGTAGAACACGAAATACTGCAAAGTGTGTGTGGCACTGGGCCCGAGGTAAGCAGCCTCCTTTGATCATGGTCTCTGCATCTTAAAACAAAGAGACAGGGGTAAACAGTTTGTCTTCAGCTCTGGTGTTCAATGTCTGATGACCATGCCATCTGCACCCACACCTGGTTTACATCAGAGGTTAAGGAGAGGGTGGGGTGTGTTCTGTGTTCTGACAGAGTACCCAGAGGGAAAATGTGTCCTCGGGCACCAAATGAAGGCTCAGATGTGCTTGCAGCCAGGGTGGTGTCACAGTCTCCAGATCATCTTTCAACTAGGGATCTCTGGTTTCTAACTCAACCATCTCAGGACATCCCTGAGCCAAAACAAAATGGGGAGAAACACCTGGAGCTGCACCTTATTTGCTCATGAGAAATTCTTTAATTGGCTGGAGATGTAGTTCAGTTGGTAGTGTTTGCTTAGCATACATGAAGCACTGAACCAACCAGGTACAGTGGCATGTGTCTGTAATCCTAGAACACAACGGGGTGGAGGCTGGAGGACCAGAAGTTTAACAACAAATGTACATAAGTTTTTGTTTGTTCTGAACTCCTCTGAGCCTTAACTTTCTTCAAATGAGGAGATAGGGGCAGAGCTACAGCATCACAGGAATATATCATAAAAAACAATGTGCTATTATGTAATGAGGGGTTGCCAATATTGCTTGGCCCTTCCTTTGACTTGGTGAAGACTATGGTCCCTGGTCTCCAGGAACTCAGCGCAGAGGAGGTGGCAAGTGTGTGAAAGGGCTTGGGATCTACACTGTCCCCAGTCACTTTTGTTCACCAAATTCCACATAGCAGGTCTGACAAGATTTCTCTAGAAGGGCCAAAATTTTCGGAACGCTGTGGGAATTTATGAAGCCAGCATAACAAAATACCAGGAATACAATGAGCATTGTCTGGCCTCTACATAGAATGCCAAGTGTGATCAGCTGCAGTCATCCCAGGCAGAACAAGCCACTCCGCCTCAGTCCTCAGAACCAATGCATAGAAACAAGGATGTGTACTTGATGCCCAGGAGACGGGTCTTAGGGAAGCTCCCAGCAAGTTTGGGCCCACCTCTGAATTACATTTCAGCCTTTCATGGACAGCTAGGCCTAAATTCTTGTTTTTCTTGCATGTTAGCTATAGATGTTATGACCCCTTCTTGGGACTTTATTGCTTCATGGACAACACATGTGAAAACCACCTTCTCATCCTCAGCCTCTAGAGCTGGCTGGGGCTTGGACAAGCTGACAAGGACACTTTCCTAGGTAGACTTTCTCCCCTGGTTCGACCTCACGTGTCCTCTGAGACAGGAAATAAGCATGGAAACCATGCTTCGCAGCACAAAATCATGTCTCAGAACTGGCTTATTCCCTCCCTTCTGCAGGTCACCCCATCTCTCCCTCCCTTCTGCAGGTCACCCCATCTCTCCCTCCCTTCTGCAGGTCACCCCCATCTCTCCCTCCCTTCTGCAGGTCACATGATTATTATGAGGAGAAAAGAACTGGTCCCAAGGTGATAGAGCTGGGGAGGTGGGACGTGATGCTGAAGGTGAGGGCTGAGTGGCTAGTCCTGGTTTTGACTTAGCCTTTGAGGCTGCAGACATCGAAGGGAAAGCCGCCTGGTCTCCTCCCTCTAGAGTGTGTGTTGTTTCCCCTGTATTGTATTCTTCTTTTCCTGAAACGTTTTCGTAAATGAATTAAGATATCCAAAATCCATTGCAGCAGACATTTCAAGAACATTCTTTGCTAGCTTCTGCCTAAACAAAAGCCACTAGGGGTTCCAGGACCGCTTTCTCATCCCCTCCCTCTCTAGGGGTATGGGAGAGCTGATCACAAAGAGCTCTTTGAGGTGACCCACAGCTATCCTGACACCCCTTGGGCCACTTTCCAAGAATGATAGTGGGCTGAAGGCCCTGGCTCTTTGCAGAAGATAAACTATCAACCTTGTGACTATTGGAGTTGGGCATTTGGTATCTCAGGGTCTGAAAATCCCAACAGTTTGGCATTTGGCAAGCCAGAAGTAATTGAGAAAATCCTAGAGATCAGGCATCTGTGGCCAGATTGCTACATGAATGGATCACTGTGATGAATTTACTTGGTGACTGTACAATACTCATGCAGGCCACCAAATTCATTTTTGAAAAGTGAGAGCAAGCAGCATTGAGCACTGCTGTGTCTAAACTATGATGTCTACTGAGCCTGATGAGTGAGTGCATAGTAAAGATAACGATGGTCACTTGTTAAGGAGAGCTGTAGGGACCTGCTCATGGGACACAGGAGAGGGTCCCTCCCTGACTGTCCATCACTGCTGTCTCAGTTTCAGCCTCCCTGGGATGACCCGGATGAAGAGTGCCATGGCAATAAAGCAGAAGTCCTCACTTCACTCTCATGTTATCCTTGCTCTCTAAAAAGGATAAGTGATTCTCCCTCTTTAAAACTAAAGTATTAGTTTAAATGACAAAGGCAGTGATTAAATGTTTTTCTTTAAGTTGAAATTAAGTGGCCTATGTGATTTTCTTAAGGGTCGTTTCTAAAGACCAGTAGGGCAGCATGTGGCTGCTCAGACACATGGCCTCCCCAGCATATGGTCTGCTCGAAACTTCCCCACAGAAATAATTTCCTTTTTTAGGAATTGGTCTGGGTGTAGATGACCATCTGCCATGGAGAGACTGCTTCCAGAAGGTTCTCAAGCTGAGGATGACAAAGAAATATAGCTTACATTCATTCCTGTGGAGATGAAACGGGTGAAGGCAGGTAGAATGTGGAGGACTTGTACCTATCTGCTCAACACTGACTCACTACCCCGAGAAGGCGTCTGCCCCCACAGCAGCCCACCACCATTCACTAGGAACAGACCTCCAACAACCCTAACTGCGTGGCAACAACAGCACATCACAGGAGGAACCTGGAGCCAGAGACAGGCCTGCACACCAGCTCTGGGCCCCTGCACCTGAGCTACCTTATAATCCAACAGCTCTGCAGAAAGGATAAAATGGCATAGGAGACACCTGGTTGGCTGGCAGGTTCTCTGAGACATGGTAGTAGCCACTCTACTATACTCCAAAACAGATAAATACAAAGGCATTTAGGAAGCCTAGACAGGATGGAGCAGTCCTGCTGGAGCTGGGAGAAACTTTCTAGAGCAGCTGACAAGGGGCTGAGGCTCTGCAGATCTGCTACCAGTCACAGTCAGCAACTGTCAAGAAACCATGAAGACCAGGCTCAGTGCTAGGTAAATGTCTTGTTTCAGACAGAGAAAAAGGCCAAAGTACCACAAATTACATGCCAAGTGGCTTGCGGTCCAGTCACAGGGTCAAATGGCAGAACAGAGGATAAACAGGGCTCTGTGAGCATGTGGGAGATAAAAGGTGAGCAGGAAAAGCCAACATAGGCACCTTAACAAGAGCCAGTGCAGCCGCCCCTACCTCAGAAAGGGCCCATAGGTTGGCTGACCATAGGACCACCAGCCTGCCATCAACTGTGAACCCTTCATGTCCAATGACTACCTCACTCAGGCAGCCTGGGGGTCACCAGCAGCAGCACTGGGGAAGGCAGGCCCTACCCCAACCCTTGGAGCCCGGAAGGCTGCTCGCCTATGCACTGTGAGACTTCCGGGACCCTGTGAACCTAACCACTTTCTCTCTCTCTCTCTCTCTCTCTCTCTCTCTCTCTCTCTCTCTCTCTCTCTCTCTCTCCTTTCCCTTCTCCCTCCCTCCCTCCTTCCCTCCGTGTGTGTGTGTGTGTGTGT